TAGCTAACAGGACGTAGCCAACAGGACGTAGCCAACAGGAAGTCGCCAACAGGATGTAGCTAAAAGGACATAGCCAACAGGACGTAGCTAACAGGACCTAGCTAACAAGACTGTAACACTAAATTTGATGCCAAACATACAGGATTTAAAGGTAAAAACCTCTGGCTCTTTGTATTTCACAGCAGAGTCAATGTTGAAGTTGGATTTTTTGGAACACGTTTTCCGAACTTGAACAAGTGGGACATCAAACACTGAACTTCCCACAAATACGTGGACAACTTCGCCCCAGTTTTTTAGGCTGTTATTAATTTAAAAAAAGGCGCTCATTTTTCTTATAATAACGTCCACGTCTGAGAGCGGCCCAGCGCGGTGTGGACGGCTGCTCCTCTGGGCCTCCTGTCTTATTAATGGACGGCTGTAACAACCGTCACTGGCTTCTCTCCCTCCGAGCTTATTAAGAAGACAAATAAGGTTGACACCTTTTAATCTGGCTTTCTCTTTCATAAGTGCTTACCTCCGGGGCTCCTCCTCAGAATAAATTTACGGATCTCATCATAAAGGAAGATGAGGAGGCTGTAGGGGAAGGCGCAGAACCACCACAGGATCCTGAGAGGGAGGTGAAAAGAGAGCGAATGGATGAAAGTGAATCAGAGTCAGAGAGAGAGAGAGAGAGAGAGAGAGAGAGCCTGCCACAGTCGGGGTAATAAGGTGGTGTTAAAGAAGGTGTCAGGACTGACGGGGTAATTGGCAGCTCTACTTCTGACAACTTCATTCTAGCTGGATGGAGTTCATGTCTATAAATACATATATATAAATACATATATATATATATAGACACAGACGCAGCTGTAGGTTGTACCTGAGTGGGTACATGCGCAGGGCAACGTCCATTCCTGGACAGTAGGAGAGAAAAGCAGCCAGGGCCGTCTCCACGAAGAGGCCGAAGATCAGGATCCTGTTACTGTGGAGTCCAACGAAGAAGAAGAAAATATGTCAGAGACCACATCATTCTGCCCCCCCCTCCCCCCCCCCGAACCTCTGCCTCGATTATTATTAGTGTTTCTGTTGTATGATATGTCAATTCTCCACATGTTGAGTTGGACTTGCAGTACCGCTTTTCAACACTAGTCAGACTATATAATATAGAGTTTATTAAATGCAGAGCTCGTGTTTGTTTGTACTGTTCTTACTTCATGCCCTGCTGAAACAGGGAGTTCCTCCTGGTCTTGCAGATGATGAGGTCGGCCCACTGCACCACTACGATGCTGACGAAGAAGGCCGTGTGGCAGGTGAACTCCACGATCTTCCTCTGCTCGTAGGTCTGTGGGTTTTATCCACAAACACACACTCAGTTTTTATTCCTGCACAGTAAACCTCAGGGACTCTCACCCCGACTCCTGCTCCTGGTTCTGGTTCTGGTCCTGGTTCTGGTCCTGGTTCTTACCCTAGTGGTTCCGTAGCTGTCCTCCAGGTCGTTGACCTCGCGGTCGTCCCAGTTGATGCGGATTCCCACCAGCGTTCCTGGACGGAAACCGTTCTCGGCCAAAATCACAAAATAGGTGAAGAATCCTGCCAGAGCCTGCATCATCCCTGTGAGAGAGCATAGTGGTTACCACGACGACGACAACAACAACGACGACAACAACGACAACAACAACAACGACAATGACAACAACAACGACGACACCGACAACTGCGACAACGACGACAACAACTACAACGACAACAACTACAACAACAATCGGTCGGCTGTTTGACCAGAGAGCCTGGATCATCCCTGTGAGAGAGCAGAGTGGTTACCACGACAACGACAACAACAACAACAACGACAACAACAACAACGACAATGACAACAACAACGACGACACCGACAACTGCGACAACGACGACAACAACTACAACGACAACAACTACAACAACGATCGGTCGGCTGTTTGACCAGAGCCTGGATCATACCTGTGAGAGAGCAGAGTGGTTACCACGACAACGCCAATGACAACAACGACGTCAACAACAACGTCGACGACAACAACGCCAACAACAATGATGACAACAACAACGATAACATGACAACGACAACAACGCCAACAACGCCAATGACAACAACGATGACAACAACAACATCAACGACAACAACGACGACAACAACGACAACAACAACAACGCCGCCAACGACAACAACAATGATGACAACAACAACATCAACGACAACAACGACAACAACAATGATGACAACAACGACGACAACAACAACGCCAACAACGCCAATAACAATGATGACAACAACAACGACAACAACGATAACAACAACGACATGGACGACAACAACAACAACGCCGCCAACGACAACAACGACGACGACAACAACGACAACAACGATCAGTCGGCTGTTTGACCAGAGCTGTTTCATCTTCACCAAAGTCCAACCAAGTCCAGAGTTCTGACCCTAATATCAGCCACATCATGGATGGATGTATACATGGATGTATACTACATACATATACATATATATATATACATATATATACATGGATGTATACTACATACATATACATATATATATACATATATATACATGGATGTATACTACATACATATACATATATATATACATATATATACATGGATGTATACTGTAGATGTGCAGTTTTTTTGTCCAACGTTTCTCCCTGCACTGCTGCAGGTCACCGTTAACGTCATGTGACCTCAGGAAGTGGAGTTGTTCCAGGGCTGATATTTAAAAAGACAAAAAGCCAACGACAAAACCCAGATCGATGGGAAGTGTAGCAGCAAACACACACACACACACACAGTCTGGGTGTGCTGTAAATGTCAGGACAATTACGTCTAAGTGGTGAGACCGTGTCCCGACCGCTGCTGCGGCGCCATCTGTTTTCTCTCTAACTGTACGTCGGTGAACATCAACACAGACGGTGGAGAAAAACAACAGACGCCCCATAATGTCAGTGTTCAGTCAGCTCAGCTCAGGGTGAGGTCACGGTGACTCACTGTCACCTTTGACCTCGTCCACCGTCACCACTGCGTCATTCTGCAGAACAAACCTATCTGTCCGTAGGCCATGCTGATGAGACGCTCGTTGACCAACTTGTCCGTTTTGGGGTTTCTGGGCTGGCGTTTCATGATGTCACTCTCTGCGGTCTCGTAAGCCAATGAGATGGCAGGAACCTGGAAGAAGGGGTTGGCGGGGGGGCGGGAGGGTATGACAAAATTGTTGACGTGAATAAAGGTGTAAAAGAAACTTCTTTTTATGGTTGTGTGGGGGGGCGGGGGTTCACACTCACATTCACACCAGTACAATTTAAAATGTACAGTTCACCCTTAGTCTCAGGCAGGGGGAGTAGGTGAGGGGGGGGGGGTCCTTGGTATATTGGTCGGCTTCAGCAGGTAAGCAACAGTTCAATAAGTCTGAGTCGAGGCCCGATCCCTGGGTCTTAGCTGGGATTGGAGCTGACGACGTGACACGGTGTGAAGAGAACACAGGCTCCACCCTGGACAAATCCAGTTGGCGTTGGTTTTCATTCTCCACTAAGCCACAGCAGCCGGAGGAGGGGGAGGAGGGGGAGACTAACTCGCCTGAGAGCGTGTCTGCAGGTGGAGCAGATTTCACTGTATTCCACCCGCTCCTTCCTCCGCCCTCGGGGCTTACGGAGCATTTTATAACAACATGTTATTATCGGTTTTTTAATCACTCTCTGGCTCCTCGTGTCGTCACCAGCTGTAGCTTTGATGCTAACGTTTTAGTAACTTTCTGGCTAATCCTTTGGCAACATCGACCGATGTTTTTGTGACTGAAAATAAAAACTAATCCACTCGTTCATCACAGAAACACGTCGTTCACTGATCTTTAAACTGACGACGTACGACCAGGAGGATCAGAGAAAAGAAAATCATGACTCTGCCTGTGTGTGTGTATGTGCAGCATCCACACACACACACACCTCCTCCCCCTCGTCTGAGTCTGTGCCACTCTGTGCTTTGATAAACATCTTCCTCTGCTCGGCTCTCGTCTCCTCACACGTGTCAGATCTGACTAAAAATAATCAGGGCAGACTCCGAGTGCTGCTCGTCGCAGCTGAGTCTCAGCAGCTCCGCAGCTCTGTAGCCTGCAGTCGGACGAAGCTGTTAACAAGCTGTTAACAGCTCCAGCAGCAGCAGCAGCCGACGACGATGATGTGCACGTTTACCACCGACACTTTTAGCTACTCTGTCCAATCTGGAAATATGTTGATTTGACGGTCTGTCTCCTTCAAAGCGGACCCCCGGCTGTTACCTCTCCCCTTCATTACACCAGTAAGTTTTAAATACATGTGGACGGGCAGCTTTGAAGAAAAAAAAAAATGCTGAACGACGTCACGAATCAGACGTGTTAGAACTCCAATTATCGTGTCTTTGAAGGAGAGAGCAGTCGGAGAAAAGTCCAACCATCGGTGTCATCACTCAAAACTTCAACTCTTCAAAAACAACATCTGTCCTGCAGCTTCAGATAAAAAAAAAAGTCCATCATCAGCCATCGTTTCTGCTGTAAGTGGTGCCAAAGTCTGGCCCGAGGGCCCAAATGTGGCCCTCGTGTGGTTCTTTCTGGAAATGATTCCAGTTATATTTTAGCTTCTTACTTTTGTTGCTGTTGGACTTCTGTTGGTATCATTTAGCTTTTTCAATAGCTACAGCGTTAGCTAACATGGCTAAGTGTTCATAAGGCTGACACATACATATATAACTACTGTCAAGCTAAGTTTAAATGCTAGCCTAACCTTTGCTACTTTCTTTTAGCTAGTTTTATTCACACACGTTAACCGCTATTCAGCTCATGTTTCGATGTTAAATATTCCGTTGTTTCTGGTCTGAGTGACTCGTCCTTTACCATTAAAAAAAAAAAAGTTTAATTAATGTTTTTTTATTTGTACGTTTCCTTGGTAATTATAAACTGCAGGTAAAACTCAGATTATTTTTTATGATTCTCTAATGTAACTGGCTCTGGTTTCCAGTGTGAGGCACGGCAGGAGCAGCCGTCAGCCCCAGGACGTTGTTCCATTATTAAATCTGACAGCGGTCGGACACTCGGGCTCTAAAGTCCAGACTGAAAATATGTCCAGCAGTTGAGGAGCTGGCCGTCATAAATGTGCACCTCCAAAAACTTTAAACTTTGGTCTCATTAGGATTCCTGCAGTGGAGAGAGAAGAGAAACAGGAGTCGCTGTGAATTGACTGTGAATTCACCGCGTTCTCCACGTTCTCCTTCTCCTCTGTGATGATGGATCACAGCCCTCAGGCCGACAGCAGGACAACAACTGTGTTCTTTTACTACTGTTGTAGTTGTTGTGTTTCTGAAGGAGAGGTGGGAGTTACCTTCCTTTCCCTCTGTTTTTCTTTCTTACGTTCCTTCTTTGTTTACTTCTCCTTTTTTTTTTCTTCCTACATCTTTTCTTTTTCCTTCACTTCTATCTATCGTGTTTTTCCTTCAGTTTCTCTGTCTCCTTCCCTCCTCCACTCAGTTCCTAACACCTGACAGTCAGGATAAATGACATGGAGTCTGAACAATGAGCTCTGACTGTTCAGTCATCAGTGGGGTCAAAGGTCAGCTACGGTTTTATCTTTTTTTTCTTTCCCCAGCCACCTTTGACTCGCTTGGAAATCACCGGGAGCACAGACATAACACACTCAAAGATCATTGATTATGATAAGGCAGATAAAAACTGAGGGGCGGGGGCCCGGGGACTAATTAGACTCACCATGTCGGTGCCCAGGTCGATGCAGAGGATGGTCACCGTCCCCAGAGGAAGAGGAACGCTGGCGATGATGAAGAGGAGGAAGGGGGAGATTTCTGGGATGTTGCTGGTCAGCGTGTAGGCGATGGACTTCTTCAGGTTGTCAAAGATGAGGCGACCTGACGGGGATTGGAGACGGGAGAAAAACGCCGTCTCAAAGGGCACGAGTCACAGGAACGGAGCGAGATTCAACCCTGGTTTCTATATTATATTAGCAGCCGCTAACAGATCACAGGCACATTCATTAGCATTGATCTCTCGGCTCCGTCAGATCACTGACTTCATTATATGGACCCTCAGATTATTGACTGGATTATCTTTAGAACCTGGACAACTGTTGAAGGTTAGCCAAAGCTAACGTGGCTAAGATTCTTAGAAGGATTTTTTTTTTGTTTGTTTATAAGTCTTATGAACTGTTACTACTGTTATCCATTCTTGGCTACATTTTAGCTTTTTTTGGTTAGCACAAACTTTGTTATAATTTAGCTAGTTTAATTCACACATGCTTACTGCTGTTTAGCATACGTTTAGATGTTAAATATTTTGTTATTTCTGGTCTGATTTACTAATGTTTTATTATTATCTTAAGTTTTAATTATTTTTCTCTCTCTCTTCACTTCTGTTTCCTTACCTTCCTCCTTCCTACGTCTCCTACTCTGTGTCCTCCTATTTGTCCCTCTCAATTTCCCCTCGGCTAATTCCTTCTCTCGTCCTTTTTCTTCCTGGCTTCATCTCGTTGCCCTCCTCCCCTCCCCCTTGATTGACTGACTGTCTCACTCACTCACCCTCCTCCACCCCAGTGACGATGGAGGCGAAGTTGTCGTCCAGCAGAATCATGTCCGCCGCCTGCTTGGACACATCGGAGCCGGCGATTCCCATGGCAACGCCGATGTCGGCTTTCTTCAAAGCTGGAGAATCGTTGACGCCGTCGCCCGTCACTGCCACGATGGCCCCCTGCACCCGCAAGGAGCAGAGAGGAGGAGGACAAGAACAAACGTTTGAGACGGAGAGAGGAGCGTCATGATTGAAGCGTCTTAACGAGGACTTTTCACCGCAGCTCTGGGGACATTCTGGGGAAAAATGGGATCGAGTCCTAATCATTCGGTCACATGGACCGAGAGCCGGGGGCCAAGCTGTGAGTGACCTCGGTGAACATGAGGAAACGTGCACGTGCACGTGCACACACAGATGATACTGGCATTTTGTCCACTGAAGCTGAGGAAAATGTGCACGTAATGAGAGGGAATCCTGGGATTCTTCATCCATCCATCCCTCCATCCATCCATCCATCCATTTTCATCCACTTATCTGTTACCGGGTCACAGGGGCAGCAGTCTCCACCCAAATCACACTGCTCCGTACCACCCCCCCCCTAAACCTTCCTGCGGGTGGTGAGTCCACTGGAAGGTACCAACCGCCCTGACCGGGATTCGAACTTGCCCAGGAGGTGAACCGTGGAGTTCCACACCAATGACAGAGACGTTGCCTCTGGGCCAAAGCGCCACGGGATTCTTGATAATTGATAATAAAGAGCGGCCTTTATGGAATAAATATGAAAAAAAAAAAGGTGCAATAAAATATCCTAAAATATGAAAATATGTGAATAATTTGTACCAAAAACGCAACAAAAAAAAACCCATCATATCTTGGTTCATGAAAAATACACGTGAAAAAAAAAGTCCTTTCTTTAAAATAAAAAAACCCAGTAAATTAAACAGTTAGATGTAAAAGAACACACACACACACACACACACCTGTCGCTGACAGCCCTCCACGATGATGAGCTTCTGCTGCGGAGACGTGCGAGCAAACACGATCTCCGTGTGGTTCCTCAGCAGGTCGTCCAGGTACTCGCTGCTCATGTCCTTCAAGTCCGACCCGTGGACCACGCACGCTTTGGCGTCTCTGGAAACGCGGGGCGAGAAACGAGAGAAGTCGTTGGTGATAAGTATGGAAATGGAGGCCGTGGCATTTTCTTCTCGCTTCCTGGAGGTTCTTTATTTCTGACCCGACTTTTCTGACGCCTGTCTGTCTTAAAGGAATAGTTTGACATTTTAGAAAACTCTGCCTTAGATTTATTCTGGTCTGGTCAGTGTGAGGCTGCAGACACTCAGCTTAGCGTAGCAAATCTGCTCACCAGTGCCTCCAGAGACTCTAGTTAGCAATTACAGTGTAACACATTTTCTTTATTAATCCTGAAACCCAACGTGATCATTAAGACGACACGTGTTAACGTCGATGTAGGCACCAGAGAACAAGAACTGCAGAGGGATATATGTAGGTAATATATAAAATAAAAAATATTTACTGTATATAATATATTTATATATAATAATATAATGACATTAATATGTGAACAGAACACACACCTGGGGTTAACCTGGCTCAGAGGGATGTCCAGCCTGTCCGCGATGTCTTCCACCGTCTCGTTGCCCTCTGAGATGATGCCCACACCTTTGGCGATGGCCTTGGCCGTGATTGGATGGTCCCCGGTCACCATGATCACCTGATCAGACAGAGGAGAGCGTCGCCATAAATCAGAGGTAAGACACTGTCACGTTAGGTGGCTGTTTCTCTTCAGTGTGTGTCTCCTGCTGTGGAGACGTTCACTGTCCATAAATCATCCAGACGTGTTTGTCCTGGACGCAGCAAAAACCCCCGCAAAACTTGTAAACCTCTGAGACAATTTGCTTATTAGTGAAATATTAGTATTTATCGAGGTGTTTTCCTGATCCCGTATCAGTTATTGATTTTTTTTATCACCAACTCCCAGTCCAATATTCCTGTTCCCTATTTAAGGTTCGTGATTTAGTTTGGAGTTGGGATTAGAACTTGGGTCAGATGGATTGAGTTTTGGTGAGTTTTTGTTGTGCTCCTGGTGTTGGTACTAGGAGTAGTTGAAGTACTGTACATGACTTTGATCTGCAGCCCTAAAATACAACGTCTATTTGTGTATTTAGGAAAAGTTGATCAGTGGACCTCAGTGGATGGACACGTCCACCGTTTGATAGTGTGGGCCTTATCTTGATAACCATTCAATACACTTTATAGCACAGGTTTAAACATTGACCATTGGCTGTTGTTGAAACTATGACAGAGACTGATTCACTGTGTCAGCGCTCAGGTCAGAGTTTGGTCCAAACTTTGTTTTACAAATTTCCCAGTGAGGTGACGAACAAATGACTTCCTCATCGTCAACTATCGAGCAACAGATCTTATTGATGACCGTGGTCTGGTTCAAAGAGCTGTTAGCTCTAACCTTCAAGTGTTTGTTGTCCTTCAACATAAGAACAACAAAGTTTGGATTTCTTTATTGGAGCGAGCGACTGGTCATGTCAGCAACATGACAGGAATGATAAAAACAGGTGTGGTAAAGTCACTGGAGCATAAATCCTCATAAACTCATAAACCAAAGTACAGAGTCCACCTAGATTATTCTACACTCAGCCCCTCCCTGTGAGATTATTAGGTGAAGTTCTTTGTCCTGCTCTGAGGTGAATCAGTCTGTCAGTTGACTTGAGAGAGTAAAATGGAGGAGCAGAGAAATCAGGTGAACCCAGAAAGATTCTGCTGTTCTATCTGTCTGGATCTACTGAA